CAACAGAAGATTAATTTTATAGAAATATCTTTGCTTTTTATATGCAAATATTCTGATAAGTGATTTGCTTTTTGGGTTGGTACGATTGAAAACCAACTTCAGTATTATTTTCGGTCGTCAAGATTACTCGCTCGGATGAGCCACAAGCAGGATCATCCTTCGGTGTAGTTCGGGCATTAAGAACCGATTTTCCCCCAGGCCAGTTATACAAGAGAGGCAACACAAAAAGATTTCTATACAAAAGTCTTCAAACAAATCTGATTTTTTTTCCTAAGTTGGCCGCACTGAAAAAGAGCGGCAACACAAAATTACATTTGGACAAAAATTCCTGAGCAGATTCAAGTCCAGTCCGATTAGTTGCGCTGTATGCGCTGCGAACATTTCGGTACATCGTAAACAGGTTACGTCAGGTGACAGCAGGATTTCTACATGAGGAGAAGTTGACAACAGTTGACAAGTGGATGTGAGCCGCAAACAAGTGTGCAATAAACATGAATAGAACACAGGTATAACGTCCATACGTTAACATTTTTCTATGTTGCAATTTTATAAAAATACAATCGGACACCTAATTTAGAATCTTTGACGTTTTATCTTTATTCTATGATAATTAAAAAATATATAATTAAAAAAGAAATAATTGTATTATTGCTGCACAAGAAGCTGATAAGAGAAGATCATCCTGCTCTATACTATTTATGCGTATTTCAATAAAATATATGTTATTAAAATTTTTTTTTAATTTTATTTTGCACAGGAAAAAACTGCTCCAGAAGATGAAATTAATCTCTTTAATCCCGCTATATTGGATAGATTACCGATATCACACGTCGCCGGATTACTCATCAGACCGCTGAGAAGTACAGATTATGAAAAAGGTAGATATTGTAGATATTATAAAATTTAACAAATAAAAGAAATTTTTTTGAAAGCGTTAAGTAATTTAATTATTTATATTTAATAGGTTTTATAGTTCTTTTGACTCAATTGACAGATGTTGGAAATGTTACTAAAGAACAATTCTTAAGTAAGTTTTTTTTATAATTAAATTCATCAAAGTAAATTTACTTTCTATCAAATTACAAGAATAACATCTCTATGATTGCTTTGATCTCATTTTAGATAGATTTTACAGCATGAAGACAGCTGGTGGTTATTATGTTGTTGTTATTGAGGATATCAATTCTGGAAAAATAATTGCCTGTGCAACATTAGTTGTAGAGCAGAAGTTTATTCACAACTGCAGTGTGGTATGTAACTTCTTATACGTCCTTTTGAAAACACAGGAATAATATATAATGTATATGTCATATACGTATAAATTTTTTTTACAGCGGGGCCGCTTGGAAGATGTAGTGGTCAACAACAATTACAGAGGTAAATCACTGGGAAAATTAGTGGTGACAATTGTAGTGCAATTAGCACGCTCTTTTCACTGTTATAAATTATCCTTGGATTGTGTAGATCGTCTAGTGCCATTCTATGAGAATATAGGTTTTAAGCGGGAAACTAACAACGCGAATTACCTTAATATGCGTTTTCACAGTGAAAATGCTACGGAACAGTCCCATTTGTAATAGTGGGCAAAATTATTTTACTGTGGCCTCACTTAATAGTAACGACCAAGCATGAACTTCTCTTTAAATTCATGGTGCAACATGATTAGAAAACGAAAACAAGAAGCTACATGCCTAATAAATAGGGCGCGGATGTTCGTGCACGATCCCATGTCGCGCGCAGAGAACCGCTGCGTGCGACGGGATCGTGCACGAACATCCGCGCCCAACTAATAAATATTGAAGTTCTGTGCAATTGGCAATATTCCCTTTTGTTAAAGAAAAGTGATCTATATTTCCTACAAAAAAAAATCTCATAATGAATTTAAGAAAAAATTTATGTTTTATTTATAAGTAAAAATTTATAACACTAACATACGTGTAAAAAATGTGTCCTATATATCTTTTATACTTTAACTTAAGCATTAACTTGTGAGTTTGTTCTAAACTTATAAAAAAATGAATCCTATATACATATATTATAAAATCTATCTATAGGTTGTAAAAAATTGTTAAATAAAATAATTTTACTTAACGCATATTTATCCACATATATGTATATTTTTCCATGCATTAATAAATAATGTAGAAAACATTTTTGGATATACTTCTTTCTTATATCAGACAAGTTATAAATACAGAAAATACTTTCATTATATTACTTGTAATATTTAATTTGCTTAATGTACAATAGAGTGATTAATATATATATAATTGGTTTACTTAAATCTTTTTTGCAGTTGGACTGGTCCTTAACTTCACTGCGCGTTTCGCCTCCATCTGTCTTTGTCTAGCTAATCTGCGCTCCTCTCTTTTCCTTCTCGCTTCTTCGAATTTATTGTTTCCGCTAGGAACACCTAGTTTAGAAATTGTTTCTTTAATATAAATGGCAGGATCATATTTGTGTGATGTTAAGTTCTGGAATCACGCCAAGCATACTTGTTTGCTCTATAGACTGAACATCCTCAAGAGGCTGAAACTCCGTATCTTCCCATCCTACTTCGGAAGAATCATTTTTCTGTTGAACACTTTGGATTGTTTCTTCTTCCTGTAATACAAAAATTTTATACATATTATTGATAATAATATTTTTAAATACATAGCCACTTAGAAAAAACATTCTATCTAGATTATTCCCGTTATCTATTCAAGCTATATATTTATATATGCATACGTAGTATTCCAAAAATACACATTGCAGTAATATTCTCTCAGACTCAAAGTTGATTTTTTTTCAATAAAAATTTGAATTTTAAATATTTCTATTATCCAGCAATAAATTAAGAATGCCTAATTAAATTTTAGATTAAGATATTGTATATTTTTATATCTAACGTTTATGCAAAGCCCTTTTTTCAATCATTTATAATTTAAATATAATAAATATGTTAAGAAATATTGTTAAGAAGATTTCTAAATTGCAACTACTTCATTATTTGAGATTTAGGAGCGAATTTACGTCTACGCTTCGTATTAATATCGCATTAACATATCGGGTTGGATCAGGATCCAAGCAAAACCTTGACTTAGCACAAAAATGTCATAAAATGCCAAGTGACAAACCGGTTCTTCCTCAAGGCTGGTCCACTGTTCATTAGCCTTAGGGGAGTGGCCGGACGATGTTATAGTACTAGCTGGATTCAATGGCACCGATGGTGTAGCGGCAGGTTGCTGATCCATGTCCCCCCAATTGTCGGCATCCCAGCAATCCCAATCACAATCGGAATTTGTATTTTGAGTGTTTTGCATGTCGTGCTCGTGATCGGGATCGAGGGAAGTCATGCTCGTCGCGCTACTCGTCGTGGCAGTTGTGCTGGCGCTGCTTTGGGAACTACTAGCTTGTTCTAAAATTCAATAAAAAAAAACCTTATTAGTAAAACAAATATATATATAAAATAAAGTCTTTCTATGTCAAGAAAACTTTAAAATAAAAATTATAGGAACGGATATAATGACATTAATAAGAGATAAAAAAAAAGAGGTAAACCTAAAGAAGCAGGTTTATTTAATAAGATTCTAGATGTGCTATGGGCATTCGACGATTTTGGCGTATCCGATTGACTGCGATAGAACTTTGCTGTGACTGCAGTGACGGCCCAACCAGCCCACGTCGCTGCGGCATTGCTAAGACTAGGTGTTGCAGTATTTACATCCGCCTCTGTAAACATTATTTTCAGTAATTTCTTTTATTCAGGATTTTACGGTATAGAAAAAAGAAAGAGAAATATCGAATATTTTTGCAGTCAAAACGTAATGTTAGAAAAACATGTATTAATGCTTAAGAATTAAATAACACAATCCTCACCCATTGATTCGCGAAGGCCAGGATCTTCTGAGACTGTCTCAAGTTTAGATAAAAATCCTCGGATAGTTCGGAATGCATTATCTCGTACACCTTTGTCCACATCCGTCGTAAGCGGACACAGAGCTGGTAAAATGCGATTTGCGACTTCTTGTAGTAGAAAGTATTGTTGCGTTGCTGCCAGAGCTAATATACTTGCGATTCTAGCTGGAGGAAAGGAGTCACGAGTTCCACGGATAAATGCACCAAGCAATACCTAAAATTATGTTTAAATTAATTTAATAATATATATATATTTTATGAATATTATATTTATAAATTATATTTTATTAATTATAAATTGTATTATCTTATAACTATTTATAGATATAAGACTGAGATTCTATGTAGTTATTTTTAAAATACATGTAGAACATCTATTTTGTTCAACAAAGACTCAAAAATAATCTTAAAAAAAGTTGTAAGAGAAACAAACGTGTACTAAAAAAATATTTCTATTATTTTTTAACTTAAGTTGCCAAAAGCATATCAAAAATTATCATATTACCTTCTGTCTTATCTGGGGATGAAGATGCTGAGCAATTTTTCCAAGGCAAACCGTGGTATTTGTCCGAATACCACCTTGTTCATCCTTTGATTGAAGCTTTGCGAAGTATCTCAAAGTCTCAACATTCAGATTATTATAATCTAACTTTGGTGCTAAATGTACAACTGATCGTATCGTTTCCTCCCTGATTGCCGGGTTTGTGTCGAGAAAACCTCTTGCTACCTGAAAGAAATATATACAATTAATATATATATGTAATATATTCATGTAATAATTTTATATATATTACAGTCATATTTTTGTAAAATTACACACAAACACGTTGTTAAATTCTATATATACATATAGAAGTTCATACTTGAGGAAAAATTGCTTCATTAACTGTCGCTGATTGCAGATGATCGACGAATCGGTCCAATTGTTGCAGTAACCGTAATCTCGTCGCTCTGTCATTCGACGCAAACAACTTGACAACGCATGGTACCACTCGACGCTGATACTCAACGTCAGGTAATTGAGAGCCCAGTTGAAGCAGCGGTGGCAACACTGCGCTCCCGGCGTCTCCAAACTCGAAAGCTGCCAACAATTGCGGCAGGATCTTGTATCTGCCGACGCCGTCAGGAAACGAGTCCAGCTGACCCGCCAACTGCGAAAAGAATCGCCCTTTTTCGCCCCTTTCCTTCATCTGAATCTCTTCCAGGAATAAAAGAGCATCGACGAGATCGTTTTTAAAAAAACCACCATTACTGCGACAACGGGCTATCACATCCGCAGGATTTGGTCTTCCTTCTGGATTTGTTCCCGTTAGTTCTCGATACACCGTCATTATTTGCTTTGGAATCTGAAAAAAAAAACATTAAATTATAATAACGCATTAAAGTTCAAAAACATAATATAAAATAAGCAGGCAACTTACTTTAAGCGTAACTTGCAATTCTGAGATGTTGTTTAAAACACCATTGTACGTCTCCCAGACCAGACAGCCGAGTCCCCACATGTCAACTGAGCTATTTTTTTTTATTTACTCATCAGTTTCATAAGTGTTAATATTAAACCTATATGCAAACTAAAAGAGAAAGGTGATATTTTGAAATGATTGTAAGAATAACAAATAGTCCATTACCATTTAGTTAACGGTCTTGCATTCTCTTTAGCCTCTGGTGGTCGATACTCTTTGAAATTGGAAGGTAAAAAATTGTATGGAGAATCCACAGCTGTCATATATTCGACTCCGCCAAGTTTCCACTCACCACTCTCTTCGTTAACAAACACTGACCACATATTGACATTATTATGCCGTAAATTTCCATCGTTATTTAAGAAGTTAAGTGCCCTCTGCCATCAAATCGAAGTAATGTGTGTTATAGATTTCTCCTATTCAGCACGCATTGCGCATAGCAATTTCCAATATAATGTATATATTTATTTATACATACTGTAATTTGAAATATACCCCAGGAAAAATACAATTCTAGTTTCAATTTGTTCTCAGAATTGTTTATTTGCCTCATACGATTGCGTAATGGTTCCACACGTTCTGTTACCAAGTAAACCATTTTATCAGTCTAGAATAACAGAGTAAAAATTACATTTTATACATAGAGAATTACAAATGCTATTACAAACTGATATAATATTCATACCTCAAGACTGTCAAGATATGCAAGTATACTCGGGTGTCTAAGAGTTTTAAGTCTTTTCACAGATGAACGTGCAATGTCCAGCAGCTGCTCGCCTCCATTTTTAACATCAAAAACAAAAACTGAAACATCCTCACCTGCTGTAGTACCCTGGAAGATCTTATAATGATAAAAATAATGCTTCTATTAAGTTATAAATTGAAGATTGAGCAAAATTACAAGATAACAAAATATGATGTTGTACTACATCTAGTGTTTCTATTATGCCTCACTTTTATTATATTTAATTAAATTACCTTTCTTTTGGCTCTGTGTAGTGTCCAAATACTTTTGTTTTCTGAGCATAGGACAGGTTCTCCAATATCATATGGAAAATCTTTGGCAGGATCTCTTGAGAAGAAGGACCACATTGTGAAGCTTATATATATTTATCTAGTCATATGCTGAGACTATGCTCAATCTTCAATATACTATTGACATTATCATTGACAGCAATATATCAGATCTGAAAAATACAAAAATAACTGATCAGTTGCAATACTAGTTCTAATCAATGTATATTAATGTAAAAATATTAATATATCAGTATAAAAAAACAATCAATTTGATAATCATAAAGGCATCATTAAAAATGTAATTTTTTTAACAGATAACATTAATTTTTTATTATTTAAACAAAATAAATTAATTATAAATAAGATAATTAAAGAATTAAAAAGAAGGTGTAAGCATATTTTGTTTGATTTACTGCAAAAGAAATGTTTCTTTACAAATTTGTTATATCTGTATATTGCAGCTGTACGTTATTCTGCATTAATACATTTATTTATGTTAAATATGTATGATTTGCATTATATACATTATTATATATTGCATTTAAATTTTTGTTATCTTTTATTTACTTATTACTCTATAATTAAATGTCACAGTTAGGCAGTTGCTTTTAATTTCCAAAAAAATCTCGTTATACTTATCGGATTTCTGAATGCTTTTTTCAAAAATATATAAAAGAAATATGTTTTTTTTCTAACTCAGCTGTTTGCATTCAACCCATTAGTTGCAATCTTGATAACGAGGAACATTGCTTGCCGACAAACGTGTGATCGTAGGTTACACTAGTATATCGTAAGCTCACCTGCGAAGATATAAAAATATTACAGATGCGCAAATCCGAAATAATAGGCTCTTTGAATTCGTATGACAACACACGTAACACTTCATACGTCATTTTAATGTACACACTATAATTAATCAGTGAATTGTCGGCTAGATTAATTGAGACCATGAACAACCACGAAACATCTTATGAAAAGATCTTGACGTCATGTATTATAAAAATATGCATTTTGCGGATTGGCTATTTGGGATAGTTTTCATGAATAGTATGGGGAAAATAATATTTGGCTATTGGCAACAATGTTTCACTTTTGTGTGATTATTATTCGACATTGATCTATATTGCTGACGTATGCCGGTGTTAAACCGTGCTCAACTGAAGTTTGAATGTTGATCAGAAAATTATATGTACACAATTTTTGTATAATTCCTGCTGTAAAAGGAAAAAGAAAACGGGCGTTTATAATTATTTCCTAATTATTCCGCAATGGGTATGTGTTTATAGGCTTATAGTTTCTCCATCAAAATTTGAATATCACATAAATGTTTACAAGTGTCATGTTTCTGAATAAGAAAATAAGAAAAGGTGGTATTATAAGATATATAATATTACCGCGTACTATAATCCAATAATTTAATTTTTTACTCTTTACTATTAATATTAATATTAAACACGTGTTAATAACATTGTAATTACAGCTGTTAGCAGTGGAGTATCATTTGTACTGTCGGCAATAATGTCAGTGCTACTGTTCTCCGGAATGCAAATGTACAAGGGTTGGCTCAGTTCTTCTCAATTTGGAACTGTATTGGGAGGATGGGTCGGATCTTTATTGTTCATGTGCACGTTAACAGCTGTGGGGAATTTTGAAAGCACCTTATTTGGAAAACCTTTTCAACAGAAACTACTTCCAGAAGGTATGCGTGGCAGTAGCATTTTAACGCATCTTCCTTCAACATTATTAGATTAAATATTAAAATAGTTGATATATAAAGCAAGTATTTAAGTTGTATAAAAAAAAAACTAATGTATTTTTATTAATGTATTTGTTGCAGTGGTCTTCTCATTGACGTTAAGTCTAATCGCTTCTGCCCTAATTCATCGTGTATCCACTACAACATGTTTAATATTTTCTCTGCTTGCACTGTATTATATGAATCGCATTTCTCAAGAAACGTATGGTGTAACTGTACAGAATCCAGTAGTACAGACTAAGAGACGCAAGTAAATAAGCATAAAGATATTTGTATCACATATCTTTTTACTGTTATATACCATAATATCATACCACACACCGTGTGTTCCATATAAAACTTCCAATTTATAATATGTCAATTATAAATTGCTCGATAATACTGTATCTAGAAGATGTGGTTGAGATTTTTTACTAATAACAAATTCTAATTTTCTTATGTCAAGTCGACATTTAATTTTCACATAAGAATTTATACTTGCAATATACACAAAAAAAAAGGTTTTGACCAGTAAAACAGAGATCAAACTTAATGCAAATGGTTTATAATAGTATATCATGATATTTACATCTTGAAACTTAACTAAACGACATGCGAGAAATATGAAAATATATATATTTCTATGACATATAAATATTTATAATCGGGGTTTTTGTTTTTTTGTCTTCCTGTGTTTTTCAGCTTCTTCCTTATCACTGTAATACTCAAACGTTTCATCAGATTCTGCCATTTGAACTGGAGCATTTGATTGCTCACCTATTACTTGCTTTATTTGCTCATTGTTGGTATTGTGTTCAGGCATCACTTGTTTATAGATTGCCATAGCCTAGAAAATGAAACAAAGTACATTAATTATTACCATTGAAATTGCAACGAATAATCCTAAAATAAATGCAACAGTTTACAAACCTGTGCCACCAAAGACGAAACATCTCCTACATTGCTTGGTAATATCATTGTGTTGTTAACTTTTGCTAATTTGTTGAACGCGTTGACGTATTGTTCTGCAACGCTAAGCGCTGCCGCGTTTTTCGCGTCCGTTATACTGAGAGCACCTGCAACTACTTGTAATCCCTTTGCTCGTGCCTCTGCTACTGCCACTACTGCAGCGGCTTCTCCAGCAGCTTGATTTATTTGCTCCTGCCTTGCCGCTTCTAATCATTAAATTTGGAATATTCTTCATGTTAGATAAATTATAAGAAAATATAAAACTTTTTTAGAATTATTGATTAAAAGCCATTTTGAATGTAAATAGCACACCTGAAGCTAAAATTCGTGCAAGCCGTTTGCCTTCAGCTACATTTATCGCAGCTTCTCTTACACCTTCAGATTCTAATATAGCAGCACGTTTTTTTCTTTCAGCCTCTACCTGCATTTGCATTGCTTCATGTACCCTTGTTGGTAATTTTATATCACCTGGCATATAAGTGCAAAACTGATAATTATAATATTTTAAAAATGAAAATTTTTTAAATATTAATTACAAGATGTATGGCACATTTGTTGCTATATGATATAACAGTAACTAAACATTTTTACAACTTACGTATCTCATATCGTAAACATGTTATTCCCCATGCACTGCTAGCTTTGTTGATACTTTCAACAATGGAAACATTTAATCCTTCTCTTTCTCTAAATACTTTATCCAAAGATATCTTTCCTAGTTCAGATCTCATAGTGGTTTGGGCTACTTGAATAACAGCAAATTCAGCATCCTCAACACCATAAGATGCTAGATAAGGATCGGTCACTCTTAAGTACAATACTGCATCAATATTTAAAGTCACGTTGTCTAAAAAAGCAAAAAATATAGTTGCAAAGACTATGAAATATAAATGTATAATACAATGTTTTATAGTATATCCACCTGATGTAACTGCGCTTTGCTGTGGTACATCTATTGCTAATTCTTTTAGTATTTGAACATATTTTACTCTATCAATGACAGGAAGTAGAATATTTAAACCTGGTTCCAAAATTTTATAAAATTTGCCCATTCTTTCTACAATCCATGCCTAAAATAGTGAAATGCTCTTTTATTTTAAATTATCACAAATAAGTTAAATTAAGTGATTTAATTTTACTAGCTAAATATTATTTGCAAAATATAGATAAAAAATTTATACTAATTGGATAAATGATGCAATCTCAATATTCAATATACATGTTGAATAATCACAAACCTGCTGTTGGGGAACAAACATTATGACAGTATTTAGCGGGGTAAGCGGTCTGTGACGAGAATTCTGAGTCGCTGAACCAAACATTTTATTTCCTACATTTATAAATGGATGATCCTGTAAAATACAATTTGTAAATTATTTAGAATTAAAAATTTTCATACAGTTATAACAAAACGTCGTACCTTAATAAATCTTAAATTTCTTGCCAATATCATGGCACTGCCCGTTGCTGCGCGTTTATACATTATTGTATTCTTATAAAATATACAAATTTATGTATTATAGATATTAACACTTTATTTTTTTTTATAGGTTAGATGAGAATTGTGCAATATTTCTGGAAGATTACCCGGCATTATTCAGCATAGAGTATCTAACAATTGATCTGATGGGACACTGCATGAAACGAAGGAACCTTGCATTTTCAGTATAGTTAACGTCTAAAAACTTACGATTACTATTCACTAAAAGTCTAGTGTTTTCAATCTAGTAAGATCAGATTGCTCAAATCTGATCAATCAAAACTAAGAAATTTTTGTCCACTTTGTTCTGATTGGTCAAGCCCTTGAATATCCATTTTTAAGGTTACTGGGACAAATGTGTACGTTGCGTATGAACCCTAAATAATGCAAGTCTTATGTACTTTAGTGCATGCTTCAAGGAACTAGATTTAGTTGTGACGCAACAAGCTTTGCGCCATCTTTGAAGTTATCCGAGAAGCGGTCGCTGCTGTCAACTGATGTGCTCCTCAGCGCCCATTCGCCCCTCTCGGTCTCTCTGAGGCGCATTTTCAATAAGAACACTGTGATCGTACGAGATGTGTTTTTTGAGTGTGTGAAACGTGTGATATTTCGTGTGGCAGTGAGACCCTCGTCGATCGCGAAACACCGGCACGCAACGGACTGTCTCGCAGGTAAGGCTATTTTATTTACGCAGAATATATACGCGTCCCGCAGGGCTGCTTGTAATGAGACTGCTCTGTGCATGTAAAAATACCACATATAGCCATGGCGTTTATATATACATATACATACATACATATATATATATATATATTGCATACATATATTAATATATATATTTATACATGTGTATATATATATATACACACCCACATATATATATATATATATATAGATTATATATATATATATATATATATAATATATACACACGCGTCGATCACGAAGCCATCATGTCGCATGGAACGCGCAATATGCATATATGATGGAAGCTTGACGGAAGTCGCGGCTTATATAAGCTGACCAATGTACTTTATCACGTCGCATTTCCGATGTGCTTTGCGCTACCATATTGCACGGAGAACGTTTGATAATTCCCGCTTGGTTACTGCTCGAAGCGGAATAGCAACTTTCTAACGTCGGTCGTGCGCGAGGAACGCGATGCGGGATCTAGAATGAGGGCGCGATGAAATATCGGATACGGATGATGGCTAATGACGTGCATTTGTTAGGAATCGGTGTTAATTATTATCGCCGTGAGTAATATTAAATATAATTGCATTTTATATTTTATAATACCTTAAACGCACAGAAACGTATATACGCGTAAATCGAGAATTTAGTAAAATAAATGAAATATCGTGATGCCGGAATATGGTTTAGGATTTCGTTGATGCAGCTGTATCGAGAGTCGCGGATCGTTTTACCGGGTAAAAACTGCGTTTGGATTACAGCACGATCGGCATTTCTGATCGCGGATGCATATTCGCTATGGGTACGCGAAGAGAAAGTCCCAGTGGCGAACACACTCGCATTCCGTCGTTGTAGCAAGCAAAAAAACAGCCGCGATTTTCGTTTTAATCTTTACTGTTTAATAAATAACGTTTCAATAATAACAATCGATACGAAGAGATAGACTCGAGATAGTGATTATCGTTTCTTCGACGTCGAAATTTCTACTCGAAACGAACAACATTGCATCTTTCTCCATCTTTAATCTTCTTTTTTCTTTTTCTGTACAGAGCGTCCGCGTTGAAACCGGCCCGTGTGCATAAAAATTTTATACACGCGGGCCGGTTTCAAGTTGAGCGCTTTGTTTTATGATTTCTACATTTCTGCTATCTCTTTCCGTGTGCCATAAATTTTTTATTTTCATATAAAATGCAAAATATATGAAATAAATCTCTATATTAACCGATAATATTAGGACTGAAGTTAACAGCAATTAACACGATCTTTGGCTGCGTTCCGAAATTCATTGTAAGTGCTGGAAATCTATAGTTTACGTTACGTATATTGTAGATTTTCAGTACTGGCAGTGAATTTCGGAACGCAGCCTTTATCGGAATTTTCGGTGACTTCCAGTGTTGTGATTAACACAATCTTGCTTATATACAATTTTTGTTTTAACATTAAAGTTACGTCGCAGTTTAACATGGGTCACACGCGACGGACGTTAAATTTATGGAGATTACGCCGATTTGATTCTCGAACAATTTCGTGTTTTCCTCCACTGTCGCTCGTTCGTATCGCACGTATATATCCGCTTTTCCATTAATGCGCAGAACGCGGAGGTACATTCGATTACGTATTCGAGTACCTAACGGATCTAGCGTGGATGGAGTGCATGCGCTCGTATTATATCGTGTATGCGCTACGTGGCGTGCTGCTTGAGGAACGCGACGGACCTGATCGATGTTAACCAACCGAAGAATTGATCATTTTTCTCGTTCTCGTGCGGGATTAAAACCACGCGAAGCGAGCCGGGACATAGATAGATTCGCGAGAGTTTGTATCAAGAAAAAAAAAAGAGAATATTTGATACGGATGCCTTGGGCTGCGGTGACGCGCGGCGAAAACGCGCTGCAAAAATAATCACGCGTGCGCGTACGCGAAGAGAGAGGTTAGGTTACACAAACGCGATGCCACAATGGAGGGCGAATCATCGTCGGTCGCTCAGCGGTAATGCCCCAGGAGAAATGTTAAATTTATCTTATCTGGTGTCCACATGCCATATACGGAGACAGATATACACACATAGTCACAAGTACGCGGTTTCATGATAATCGGCGCGATTATTCCGAAAGAATACAACTTCGTCAAATATTCTGTACTGTGTTCACAAGTAAACTTTGATATTATTTGGATATTTTTGACTACATCGACAAATACCTGATCGGAAAGAGATTGATAAATAATTTTACGTTCTTAACTAGTTAGTTAAGAATTCAATGAAATTATTTAACTTTAAATGTGATGCGACGTAGCAGCGTGGATGAGTTGTTTAATATTTAATGTGGTCTAATTCGAATATAATTTTGTATTTAATGCGATTAGCATATTCGGTAATTGAAAACGATAACAATCATATTTTATTAACTAATTGCATTATTAATTATACGGTTAAGTATGAAAGCTATCAGATTGACCAGAGATAAAATACAATGTTTCATATAATTGGTTCTGCAATCATAAATAACTATTTTTAGATTTCGGTATTTTAAATGTATGTTGGAAACAATTTTATTTATGATCGTATGCTAAAACTGCATTAACTCTGAATTTTTTATAAGAAGAATATTTGTCTTCACTTTAAAGCTCTAATTGATTGTATTAAAGGCATTTTATCTAATTGTTTCAATTAATTGGCTTAATTATTTCATTTTACATTGGATTGTGCTTCTCAAAAGTTTCTTTACTTTTATTTGCTATTTATTGTTCTTTTATCACGAATCAGTGATGAAAAATTTTGCATGCGATACATATAAAATAAGCGAGTGCATTTGTATCTGAATATATATTCTTGTTATTTTTGAAAGTGTAAACAATATTCAAAAACAAAGGTAGCGTGATATGCGTAGTAGATAAATCATATCGACGATTATTTTTTTTTTACGAGTGATTGCAGAGATTCCAAGTTTTTTACCGTGTTCTAAATAGACCAAGTAGAAATAGACGGAACAAGATTCAAGATGGTTGAAGCATGCGGAAGAATAGGGCAGAGAAACGACATTAGTGTCACGTCGCTTTCACTAAAATCGCTTTCCCGAGTCATAAAGCTTCTGTACAAATTTCTTTCTGTGCAGAAAGAGAGCACTGCATTTATCCATGCAGCCTATTATTCTACGCAATTTCAAAAATTGTTTTGAAGTATGAATAACTTTTAGAGACGCATGAGTTTTCCAAACGCGTATACTTCTTTAATTTTGCATGGGAAAGTCTTACATTTTAACAGCGCAAAGATAACCATGATATATCTCAATAACATTCGCACATTTGAAAGGTCTTTAAAAATAACGTTTTATGAATATATATTTATTGCGCATTCACTCCTCATTCACGCTGTAGTTGCGTGTGCTTTCAACTGCATTGCTGATATTGCAAAATTATAGTAAATTAATTATAGAAGCTTCATATTCTTCAAAATAATTTCTTTGTTAATTTTATGCGTCATTTGTGCAATTAACAATTGATAAAGCGGAATGTTCTTAATAAGATATAATTTGTTTTATTAAATATTTTACTAAAAATATTCTGCTTTATAATAATTGTTAATTCCATGATGCAATGATACATGAAATTAATAAGAAACTATTTAAAAAAATATGCGAAACTTTCATATAGTTAATTTACGATAATATAATTGTGTATATATATATATATATATATATATCCATAACTATGTATGCATATGCATATATGTATATGTATTAATATATATAAAAATATTATGTTTTGCGATTTTTAATTTATCGGCGGCTATTAATATTTAAACTTGTTATTTTTACGATAACAACAGCTGACGCTATACTGACATTTTTATTAATTCCTTTATGCAACAAGTTGATATTTGTTTTTATTACAAAATATGTGCCTGTGTTTACGGAAAACCAGACGATATTATCGATATCTACAAAAGAGACATAAATAACAAACGGTAAATTTGCAATTAATAGATGCTTGTTATTAATAAATAAAATTAACAGCGCAAATAAAATTAAACGACACGGAGGAGCGCGCGTACGCTCGCGTGCAGTAAAAGCGTCGCGACTTTTTCGTCTGCGAGAAAATACGTGTGAAAATACATGCGTCCGGCATTCCGCTGAGGAATTCGTTTAATATTTTGCTTAGGACTCGAATCCACTTCGCGCGCATTTTTTCGGAACACAGCATCGGCGAGAATAACGCCGATTTCAGCGGCGACACATCGGGCGAATTCTCGCGAACGTGTCGGAATCGTAATTTTCTGCGCGAGCGGGTTCAGCACGCGCTCGCGCCCGTTCACGCCGTGACAGTATATACGGGAGTTTCGTAATAAATATATGCTTGGGATAAAATAGTTGGGGGAGAGGGCCGACCTTGTCCCGCAACCGACCGCCCGCTTGTTGCCAAGCTAACACTGTGTATATAGCGGGGCGC